TCAGCGCTGGCAGGGGTCTCCACATGGCTGCTCCAGCACCCAGGGCTGCATCAGGGTAGGTCCATGTGGCTTTGCTTCAGGGATGTCTCACAGGAAGTGAGCCTTGCCAGCTGAAGCAGGGAACTGGCTAAGGCAGCTGCACCCTGGTCTCACCATCAGAAAGCAAGAGACCTGAGAACCAGAAAGGCAAGGCTCACTGAGCCATTTATCCCTCCACCCTTCAATTAATCCCACATGTGTTTATCAGCCAGGTTTTCACAATAAACTTTACCTATCTCAGTGGGTGAAAGGATAGCCTTTTCATGGCATATCAGACTGAGTGGGGCTAGTGGTGTACCGACTTGGAACATGTGATTTCGGCTACATTCTGCTGTGCAAGAATAGTGAATGTGGATGGTGGTCAAGTCCTGCAGTGCAGCCTTAGTCTGAGAGGCATTCCTAGGCAGACAGGTTCCCCAGACTGTCTACACAAAGTCACAAGAAATCCAATGATGTATACAGGAGTATGCAAGTGATAATTTTGGAACCCTGAGCTTCAAAGGGAAGGATGAAAAAAAGCCAACTGGGAGAGGAAACGGAATGAAAACAATGAATAGAGAGACAAATGGGAGTAGTGAATTATCAACTGATTGGGCACAGTGTTGTCATTTTGAATTTTTACAAGCAGAGTTCCAAGTGGGGGCAGCAATCTGATAATCTGCCCAGCACTATACCAGGGTTCACATTAGTAGGAGACCACCAGAAAGGTGCAGCCTCCCTTACTCCCCACCCCCTCCCAGTGAATGGAAATGTGGCTGGTGGCAACACCCCCTCTGCGGCCTTCCATTCACAGTTTCTACATACTGTGTTACTAGCTGCAGTTTCCTCGACCTAACCGCTCTCTCCCCAGTTCCCTGCCTGCGTCTCCCATGTCTCTCCATCTTATTTCTTGCTCCTTCCTGCCTTCTGGGCTTTGTTTCGGGGCCATTATTGCCGTGAAACTTTGTTGAACCTCAAGTTCTTCATCTGCATCATGGACCTTACACACTTGCTGGCTCGCTCCACAGACTTGGTAGCTTGTATCAAAAGTAAAGTGCGTTTTTAAAGGATAAGCTGACTATTTCAAGCCCTTATTTTGGGCTAGGTGGGGCATAAAAAAATACTAGTTAACATTTCATTCATTAAAATGGGCGTGGGTGGGTGGTGGAACAAGAGGGAAACTGTGACCCCACCTTCACTTCCTCTTGGTGGACACTGTGCACCATCTGTAGACACCCAGTTGTGATTCAGAGTCACGGGGAGTGGAGGCTCGGGGTTTCTCTCTTGGCCCTGTGGAATTTTATTTTTAAGCTATTGTCGGCCTCAGCACTGTACTGTTCCATATTTTTTTATCATGATTCCCAGCAGGAACCAGGTAATTGGTTGGATTTGATAGGTAATTTTTATCCCTGTTTCTTTAACTGAACATTATCTGCATGGGACATAGTCTAATTTTTAAAAGACAAGAAATAAATGTCATGTTTTATTCCTCACTGTTGGGACTCAATAGCTACAGTTTATGTTAAGTAGGTGAGTGTGGCAGATTTAGCCTGAGAGCTGAGGGAGCAAGGAAATCATAGCACACCAGCTAGAACAAAGGGTTTTCCGAGGTACTCATCCAGGTCAGGCTGGGCAGTTCCTGGGTAAATACCGTCTTCGTAACCCAGAGGGAGAAGCAACCAGTCCCCGGGCTCTACATCTAGATGTGGGCCCGACAGCTTCCCAGAGACTCTAGATGGATTGCTCTTTTTGGCCTTGAGGTAAGCAATTAGAGAATACAATTAGATTTTTGACTTCTGGTCAAAAGAGACAGAGCTTTGATTCTTCTGCTCTGTATTAGCTCTCCCAGTTATGTCTCTGGCCTTGAACTTTGAGAGTGAAATTTCCTTTCCAAAGTTGGAGCACAGCTGACTGGCTATGAGGTCCCACCTTTGTCATGCTAGGTTTCCGAGGGCATTCATAGTGAGTGAGTTTACGGTCTGAAAATAAAGCCAGAACCTTTGGAGAGCCCACTGTGTGGTAGCCATTGCCTGCAGGGGATTATGCAAGTAGTTTACTGGAAGTCCTTAAAAGGTTATTTATATATTTCTTTAAAACATAGAGTTTTCTGAAAATTATTGTGGTGGTGGTGATACAAAAGGCTGGTGGGCTTGGATGGGAAAGGACTTTTTGACCGATGAATCCTTTCATTGGTTGCCTCTATGAACTTGAACCATTGCTCATGGGATTTGAACTTGGACTGATTTTCTTAGTGTAAAAATTACAGTTGTTCCATAGACCAAGTCTAGATTGGTTTTTCTGTGGGATTTTTCCCCCTTCAAAATGCTAAAATATAAATATAAGATAATAGAGCTAACTTTACAAGAAGGTATTCTGATGCACAAACTGAACATCCACATGAGCATTGTCCCCTTGATAATAGTAATTCTCTTGCTCAGAGTATTTCAGGAATGCCAGTTTGGTAATTGCCTTACCAGTTCTCAGGCCGCTCAAGGAAACTCAGCGCATTGCAACTTTATGATCATGCTTTAAGCCAGTGGTTCTCAAGCTTCCTAATGCCGCGGCCCTTTCATATAGTTTCTCATGTTGTGGTGACCTCTCCAACCATAAGATTATTTTTGCTGCTACTTCATAACTTTAACTTTGCTACTGATATGAATCGGGTGACCCCTGTGAAAGGGTCATTCGACCCCCCAAAGGGGTCGCGACCCACAGGCTGAGAACCACTGCTTTAAGCTTTTGTGAAAATGGATATTGATCGCCTTTTTGGAAAAGTAAGTTCCAAATGGCTTTGATATTTAACCAAGAAGAATTGTTTTCCAGCTGCTGAAAATTGGTGCCCCAGATGGACAGCTGGGCAGTAGAGCGAGTAGCCATAGAGTTGAGCAGTGAAATGACAGCCTTGAGCCTTACTGGAGCCTCCGTGTGGGTTCACCCTTGTCAGTGAGTTACTTAACTTCTCTGAGCTGAGAGTTCTTTATAGAGGAAAAATGGCTAAAGCTTACCTCGTGGTGTGGGTCTGAATGAAATAGAATAATCTATCAGTCTGACTGATATCTTCTATTATGGTGACTAATCGTTTTTAAAAGTCTACAGAAGACAATTCCAAAGAAAGAAGTTGTAAAATTGCTTTCACCAAGAGACATCATTTTTTGGTATTTAAAATACTACTTAAAAATGATATATATTTAAAATTTCAGCAGTAAAATGTATGTTTCAGTATACAATTCATGGGTGTGACAAATACATAGATTTTTACAGACTGGCCTGGTGGCACAGTGGTTATCCGTTGGGCTGCTAACCATAAGGCCAACCGTTCAAACCCTCCAACCACTCACTCCATGAGAGAAAAATGAGGCTTTCTCTTCCTGTAAAGAGTTACAACTGTAGGAAACCCACAGGGTCAGTTCTACTCTGCCCTAATAGGATCTCTATGTTTCAGAGTCATGTACATGGAATCATACAATTTGTAACCTTTGAATCTGGCTTCTTTCATTCACCATAATGCTTCTGAGGGAGATGAATATAGGCTATTGAATCCATAGTTCACCTTTTCTGTTACTGAGTAGCATGCAATGATATGTAGGCCAGCAAACAGCATGATGATAGAGAACAATTGAAGTTGTCAAGGATTTCCATGTTACTTAGATCCATCAGCAATGCCCATGCAAGCAGCAGTCAATACATCAAAGGGTTTATTGCACTAGCCAAATAACGTGGCACTAAAGATCCCTTTAAAGTGTTAAAATGCAGAAATGTCTTGTTGAAGGCTAAGGCGCACCTGCCTCAAACCCTGGTCTTTTCAAGCGCCTCGTGCATGCAAACACTGAGCAACGCAGAAGAGTGACCTCAGGAGAGTGATGCATTGGGATTGTCCTGTTGACTGCGAATGCTGCAGCATCTACTGTGGACTGCTAGACGAACACCAAGCCTGTCTTGCAAAGAGGAGAGCCAGAATGCCCTGACATTGGAGGATGTGTCATTTGGCGAAGTGTCTGTGCAAATCTTTCGCCCATTTTTCTTTGTGTGTGTTCTTTTTATTCTTGAGTTCTGTGACTTCTTGATACACTCTGGATAGTTGTCAAAATGTGATTGGCCACTGTTTTCACCCAGGCTGTAGCTTATCTTTCATTCTTTCATCAGTACTTTTCACAAAGCAAACGGTTTTCATTTTGATGACATCTAGTATCTCCATGATTTCTTTTATGGATCATGCTTTTGTTGTCCTATCAACAACTCTTTGCCTAAGACATCATCTTATAAAGATTTCAGTAGGAATTTGCCTATAAAAGATTGTTCTAGAAGATTCAAATGATCCCAAAGTTCTCGTTTACCTCTATTTCCTCCTCCAACTTTCTTTTCAGAGGTTTCTACCATCAGTGTTTGGTAAGAATCCTTCCCATCTTCTCTCTAGTAAATATGCATGTTTTGAAAGGGGTGTTTTAAAATTAATTCTATTACTTTAGTCAATACATTGCACACCAAAAACTGTTTTTCCTTTTACCCTAATTATAGGCCAAATCATTGTTTTATTGTTAAAGACGTGAATTCTGTTTCATGTTCCATAAAGTCATGACTCGAGGAAGAACATTCCAGAGGACAACTGAGGGAACTAAACTTAAATAGGTCATTTCATATTTGTTAAAAATTGCTCTAATTAATTGAAGTGACTTTGAAATATATGTTTTCTTAAAATAAATGATGAATTGCTTGCGTGTGTGTATGCATGCTTGGACTAAAGGTCTCTTTGAGCAAAGAATACTGAAATACTCAAAGAGTATTAGCTGATGCATTCCCAAATTATGGTTTGCTCATTTTTCCTGCTGATTCTTTGCGCTGTTTGAATTACTCAGCACAGGATTTTCAGGTGGTTCCCATTTTATTTTTAATCACAGTTTTAGGGTTTTTCAACTGTAGTTACTCAGAACTTTTTTTTCCACAAAGTGACCCTTATTAATATAAGCTATTGTATCTTTCTATAGGTATGAATCCTAGGACCCAGAATAAAGCTTCTTTAGAGGACAGTGTCTCTACTGATCCAGACCCAAGTAAGAGGGGGCGGCTGACTGAAGAGGTGGGGAGGTGCGTGATCCGAGCATGTGGAAGCAATACAGCCCTGTGGGAAGAGGAGAGACTGAAAGTCCCTGGCTCTCTGAGCAAAGTGCCAAGGGAAGACAGATCCTTCAGTTCTCTGATAGAAAGTGAGAGTGGAGTGACCTAATACTTCTGATTCAGGGGGAGAGGGGAGTGTAATGGGAGCCCCAGAGGCTCTTTAAGGCAGTGTAGAGCCAATTCTAAGTCCTTAAATGCCTAATGGTAGCTCTGGGAAAATGTCAGCGGGAGGTGATAGGAAGAATCGGAGCTGCCTACTTAGTTGAAGCTGAAAATATTTGGTTGTGAGTCATTTGTTTTGATCATCTTGTCTATTGAAATAGCTGTGTAACAAAAGAACAGGTAAATACCCACACTAACACAATAGGAGGAAGAAAACCCATTGCCTGATGCACGTCCTTCCCTGTGACCACTGTATATACATCACCAAGTCTCTTTTGTCCCCATGTGTGGTTACTTCATAACCCATCCACTGTTTCTTTAGGTCCTTCCTATCAGTCATTTTCAATGGCAATTTTATCACAGTACTGTGCCCGAGTTTGAATAATCATTCTTCTACTAGTAACCATGTGGGTGATTTCCAGTTTTTCAACAATAGCAAATAATGCAGGCTTAATGCATGTTCCGGTAGATGGTTATTTTTCTTGTGGTCCATGTCCTTGGGGAGGTCTGTTTCCTGGCGTATGATTGTCAGATTGATTGTTTTCCATACTGGCAGCATGAGTAGACGAGCCTGTTTCTCTGCCAAGAGCCCTGGGGGCACAAAGGAGCCCCGGTTGCATGGGGTTAAATACTGGGCTGCTACCTTCAAAGTCAACAGTTCAAACACACCAGTCGCTCCACAGGAGAAGGATGAGGGCAACTGCTCCTGGAAATATCTAGTCTTGGAAATCCTCCGGGGCAGTTCTGCTCTGTCCCCACAAGGTTCCTAGGCGTTGAAATGGATTGACAGCAGTGGGTTTGAGTTTTCTATTTCTGCAACCACAGCCACTGTGTTTATTTTCGCCTGTTTAGTGGTTCTGAGGTGGGGTACCCTCAGAGACCTTGTTCGTGGGGCCAGCCAAAATGGGGCCTGTTTTCCGGAAGCTGTGCTCTGGAGGTCACTAAACTAGGATTTGAGACACATTCTCACCAGTGGAGCTTGGACTCAGCATTTGAATTCTCCGCATTTTGGTGTGTACCCTGTGGAATCCATTTTTAATATTTTCTTGTAAATCACGTAAGCTGATCAGGGCCAGATGAGGTTATAGCTGTCTGCTGTTGGTGACGTCTCCATTGTGACTTTGATCAAGTCTCTCTTTTCTGCTCCTGGTTTTGACCAGGAAGTAGGAGCAAGTCCACCTTCTCACCTGCCATCTAGAGAAATTGGAGTGGCTAATTAGGTGATTCTGGGCTATGTTTTGCACTCCTCCAAGCGTTAATTGACTGCAGCAATGGGCACGAGAATAGAAATAATTGTGAGGATGGCACAGGACTGGGCAGTGTTTTGTTCTGTTGTGCATAGGGTCACTATGCGTTGGAACTGACTCCATAGCACCCAACAACAACAAGTATTAATAAGTTGGCAAGACCAGTCTAGAGACTCTGGTGCTGCATAGAGCATGTTCCGTGGTGACCCGATTCTCCTCTGGTTCTATGACTCTTGGTTCAGTAGGACTCTGTTGTACTGAATAGTGTGCTATATAGTGGAAAGACCCCTGAATAGATAGGGACCATCTAATCCTGACTCTGCTATCATGTGTAACCTCTTCGAGGTTCAACTTGGCCATGCATATGAAAAGATTGATGGTGCCACCAGCCCTGCCTTGTGGAGGCGGTGTGAGGGTTAATGCCACAGCAGGTACAATACCACCATGTATAAAATGAGCCTCCTGCTAAGTCAGAGGTAAAGCACAGAGTATTTCTGCTTCATTGAACTTCCTTTTAACAGAGATTGAAGAACTAATCTTTACTTAAATTACTGCAAGAACGGGGCCCTTGTTCCTTGAATTCAGTGGTTTTGCATCAGGTGGGCTTTGCCCTTCTAGCGGTCATTTGGTAATGTATGGAGACATCGTCTGTAGTCACAAGTTGGGGCTGCTACTGGTATGTAGTGTGTAGAGGCCAGTGATGCTGCTTAACATCCTGTAAAGTCCAAGATGTCCCATAAGCCTCCCCCACAAGGATTTGTCCAGTTCAGAATGTCATGTCAGTAGTGCTGATGTTGGCAAGCCCTGCTGTACCTCAACAGTAGGAATTTCTGGACAGAATCATATGACCAGGCTTATGATGCTGACCGAAGCTGTCCTTCCTTGATTGTTAACTCTGAGTCTTAAAGTTCTGGCTTCATAACTTCCCCCAAATCTTTCCTTGATTTCTCCTCCCACCCTTTTAGATTGATTCCTCAATTTTACAATTCTGAAAAGATTCCACATTTTGCTGCTGTATGCTGTTAATTCAGACATCATACTGAATTCTCCTCCTTTCTTCACTCCACCCCCTCTGCAGTCCTGGGACGAGGCTGTGGCTTGAGCCCCTCACCTGCTCTTGGAATATCGATTTGCTTTATGCATACCTCTGCCTGCGCTGCAGTAACCTCACTGGCATTGTGGCTGTAGCTTAAAATCAGAACATTACAACGAAACATATCAGCTGGGAATCCATTTGCATGATGGGATTGGATAAGCATGTGCACTGCATTGTCTAACAAACGCTCTTTCTCTTTCTCTTCTTTCCTCCCCCACCCTCTGCCCTCCCTCCTCCTGGCAATTTTATCACCTCTCACCATCCTCTCCATTTCCACTTCTCCCTTGGCCCTACCCCTGCTGTGTTGACCACACGTGCTTCTTCCCGTGACACGAGGCAGTTCTGACACTGTCTGCCCCCCCTGTAGTACCAGGCTTCTGTTGCACGGTTGGAGTGGATTGGAAGTCCCTCACGACTCCAGCCTGCCTCCCGCTCACCACCGACTACTTCCCAGATCGCCAGGCACTGCAGAATGACTACACTGAGGGCTGCTATGATCTCCTCCCAGAAACAGACATCGACAGGTGCGTGTCAAAGGAGAGGTGCACCCTGCCTTTGTTTGGATGAGTTCCAGACGTGTCCCAGTAATTGTCATGTTTTCAAATCGGTCTCCTTCTCCCTGGATTTCAGAGACTGCATAGTGTAAGAACTTCAACCTTGTATTTAGTTGTATTGAGAAGCCTCCTTAACAATTGCTCTTCGTCGATGATTTTTCATGTGCTAATATACTTATTTTGAGTGCATTAAATCTGGTTTTCTTTCCTTTGATGATTCTGTTGGGCATTGAATTACCTGCTCTTTTTATGCTGCTGTTGTGTTGATGGAAATTTTGTTCTTTGAGTTGCTCATTCCTTTCAAGGATGGTTCCAAATCGGTATGTTTTATGAACTACTGTAGAGTCACCAACGACTTGTGGGAATGAAGCAAATGGAAAGAGTGGGATTGTGTACTCTTAAGTGCAACTCGCTTGTGGGCTGAGCAACCCAGGTGAGGCATCCTCTGTGCTTTCAGGAGGGATGAGGAGGGTGTGCAGATGACAGCCCAGCAGGTGTTTGAAGAGTTCATTTGCCAGCGGCTCATGCAGGGCTACCAAATCATAGTGCAGCCCAAGGCCCAGAAATCCACCCCCATCGTGCCACCCCCGCTAAGCAGCAGCCCACTCTATAGCCGAGGTGAGTTTTTCTCTTGAAACTTTTTTTTTCTTTCTTTATTAAATGGGTTCTTATTCCCCATTAGTGGTAGGAGATTTCAAAATGATAGAGAATAGATAAAACTTAGAAGTAATTGTTTCAACACAACATTTGCCACTTACTTTTCTTGTACATTAGGTTCTAATTTTTCATATATACTCTCTTTGACCTATATCTTAGGAAGTGCCTATGTGTACCAGACATCTGAGCCAGACCTAGTATAGTATAGACAATCCGTACGTTACAAATGTTTCATTTTCATAAAACCTGTAGTTTCTTCACAAACCATCCCTCTTAAAGACTCTTACGTAAAAAATTCTATATACAATGTCTTATTATAAACGTGGGGACTACTTTATGACACCCATTCAGAACATTATTATTATTACTGTTAATGTTGAGTTGTTGCTTTAATTCATAGAATGATACACTGTATGTTATAAACTAAGACAGACATCTGACTAATTGTTATATACCTAGCTTCTGATATACATACAAGTTTGACGTAAATTTGTTAGGAATGGAACTGGTGTGTAATCTGTGGACTGCCTGAAGTGAATATTCTAAATCATTGAATAGAAACGGCTGTTGAATTTTTTCTTGTACAGTGCCACACACCGTCCAAGCTTAGATGTTCACTTGCCCATCCCTGGAGTTAAGGAGCCCTCAGGGTGCTATGAGTCAGCATTGACTCCAGGGTTGATTTGTATACCTGAGGTTGGGGCTCCCTCTCTTTCTTGTTCTGTATTTCATTTTCACTTGTTTATCACTTTGAGCCTTGAAACTGAAAAGTGGCATCAGTGGCAGAAGCTAATAGATGATAAAGAATTGGTTCCTAGATTGAGGTACAGCCAGGCTCTGAAGCGTATCTTCAGAATAAGTCAGAGAAAATGAAGCATCGTTACTGGGAACCACCACCACTTGTCTGTCAGTTTGTGGTACTGTGGTGGCTTATGTGTTGCTGTGATGCGGAAGCTGTGTCACTGGTATTTCGAATGCCAACAGAATCACTCAAAATGAACAGGCTTCAGTGGTGCTTCCAGGCAAAGAACAGACTACAAAGAAGGCTGCCCTTTGCAGAGGAAGGAGTCACAGCTTTGAAACTTCGTCGACTACTGAGTGGAAGCAGAGCCTTGTCGGAGACGGTGCCAGAGGATGGGCTCTTGGGTCAGAGGTCACTTGGAATGTGACTGAGGAGGAGCACGCTCTCCTAAAGTGGTCAACCTTGGTGAGGTGCACGGAGTGAAACCTGTGGGAGTGGAGCCTTGGGGATCTTCATTTGCAGATGGGGTACAATGCAAGAGAAGAAGAAACTGCTGCCAAAATGTAATCATCAGAATGTGGACTGTAGGGAGTATGAGTCTAAGACATTGGAAGTGGTCATAAATGAAATGGAACATACAAAGATTTAATACAACTATTGTTCAAATTTATGTACCAACCGCCAAAGCTAGTGATGAAGAAATTGAACAATCTACTAATATGTTCAGGGAGATAAATTGGTAATTGACTATTTGAATGCAAATGTTGGAAACAAAGAGGGAAGAACGGTAGTTGGAAAATATGATCTTGATCATAGAAATGAAGCTGGAGATTGCATGATAGAATTTTGCAAAACCAACAACTTCTTCATAGTAAATACCTTTTTGCAAAAACACAAATGGTGACTATGTACATGGACTTCTCCAGATAAGATACACAGAGATCAAATTGACTACATCTATGGGAAAAGACAGTGAAGTTCAATATTAGCAGCTAAAACCAGATCAGGGCCAGACTGCGGAACAGACCATCAATTGCTCTACATTAGTTCAAGTTGAAGCTGAAAAAAATTAAAAGTCCACCAGATACAAAATATGACCTTGCGTATATCCCACCTGAATATCAATAACATCTCAAAGAAAGATTTTCTGCACTGATCACTAATGATAGAAGACTTTATGAGCTGTGGGAGGCCATCAAGAGTATCATTCATGAAGAAAGCAAAAGGTCATTAAAAAGACAAAGAAGAAAAAGATCAAACGATGATGTCAAAGAGCTGACCAGGAAATGTCAAAGGGTTGCTTTTGAAGACAAAATAACAATATGTAATTTGTGCCCAGCCATAGAGTTAGAAAACTAAAAAAGAAGAACATGCTCAGCATATGAGTCCCTAAGAGCTAGGCTGCCCTTCTCTGATCAAGGATTTTTATTAAAAATCTTTTGATCACAGGCTGGAGTGCTTCATTTGCATAAGCTAGCTGATATCTTCTTTTTTTGTGATTTTGCTTAAACCTCATCAGATTCTCTAGTCACGATTTTTATAAATTTGAACAGTAACCCGTTGTGTGGCCAGGTCTGTTTCAGATTCATCTTTTCTCCTTCATATTGGAAACCGTTGTACCTAGCTTACAACTATATGCCTCACTGAACATTCTCATTCATTCAACCGGGTTTCTGAAGCTCCTACTTTGGACCAACCGTGGAACTGTGATGGTAAACAACAAAAACCATGGGTTCTGCTCCGGGAATGGCACCATTCTGGGTCCCCCAAAACACTAGAGTGGTTGGGATGCAGGTAGTGAACCAGAGCTGTGGCCAGAGAATTGAGGAGATCCAGGCCTCTCTGGGCCATCGGGAGTCTTTTGTTCTCTCCCTGGAGCAGTGGAATTAATTCACTCAGTGACGCAACTGTGCTCATGGAAAGGGAGACTTGCACTTATTGGTGAGTGTCAAGTGTGGATTCGACTGCAGCATCAAACAAGAATTCTGCCAATGGACCAATAATCAGCATTATGATAAACAGACCCCCCCCAAAAAAAGTCCAGGATTTTGTTTGTCTTGGATCCAGTCACTACCCATGGAAGCAAGCATTAGGAAACGAACCCCATATAGCACTGGGCAAAAGATCTCATTACAGTATTAACAAGCATAGATGCCGATTTGAAGATTATTGAAGTGTGCCTTACCCCACACCAGGGTGATGTCAGTCCCCTCGTGTGTACGGAAGTTGGATCACAAATAAGAAAGAGCACAGAAGCATCGTGGTGTTGGTGAAGAATAGGGAATATCCCTTGGACTTCCAGAAGAACAAACAAATATGCTTCGGAAGAAGTACAGCTGGAGTGCTCCTTGGGGATGAGGATGGCCGGTGTTCGTCTTCGGTGCTTTGGAAGGTTATCAGGGAGGAAGACAGTCCCTCAAAGGACATCCCGCCTGAGAAAGTGGAAAGTCTGGGCAGAGGAGGAACACCCTCAGCAGACATGCAAACAGCCTGTCCTCTGCACACTTCGAAACAACTCTACGTCTAGCGCAGGGCCACAGTGCTTTATTCTGTTGTATGTATACCTTAAATAGAGTGACTGTCCCTTAAATAAATAAATGAAGTTATACAAATATGTAAAGAATTCTTCTACAACGACTGGTACCCAACAGATATGAATCATCTGCTTTTCCAGCCGTGTGGGCCAGGTCAGCAGTTTGGACTTACCACCCCTTCCCAGGAAAGAGATGAGGCTGCCAGTTTTCACAGGCAAGGAAAGCCAAAGGGGCAGGTCTGCTCTCTCCTGTAGGATTGCCACGGGTTGAAATCGACGTGGCCGTGGGTAGCAGACAGTCTGACAACTTTCTGCTGTAAGTAAAGAGGAGTAATATCTAAGGAAATAAGCAAGCCTCGTTTCCGCTTGTCTGAATCTCTATGGGGGCGAAGCATTTGTCTGTTGTGAGAATGACCTGTAGCCAGGTAGAGAAAATGATTTCTATTTTTCCTCTGGTAGGCCTGGTGTCCCGAAATCGCCCTGAGGAGGAGGACCAGTACTGGCTAAGTATGGGCAGAACTTTCCACAAGGTGACGCTGAAGGATAAGATCATCACAGTAACTCGCTACCTGCCCAAGTGAGTGGTTGGCTGCTCAGGCTCTCAGCTCCTGCCCATGGGCCCCATGGCTCAGACGCTTACTCCGCACGTGGGTTTTCTTTTGGAATTACGATATTCCTTTTTTAGGACTGTTTCAGAGTGACCGCTCACCTACCTTCAAAAGCAATGTGATTCAACTTAGATCGGCTGGTTTAACATGATTCCTAGCCAGCCCAATAAAGAAAAACGACTCCAAGCGTAGGAGAATGAATACATTTAAAAAGAGCTGAGAAATCTCCGCCGTTAGCTGTTCCCTAGGGTGATTTGGTCATTGCAGCTGAAGGTTAGACACCAAAAAGCCAAAAAACCAGACTCCCTGTCATCGAGTCATTTCTAACTCAGTGCGCTTGTAGGACAGGTTAGAGCCGCCCCTGCAGGTTTCCAAGACTAAGTCCTCGTGGGCATAGAAAGGCTCATCTTTCTCCCATGAAGTGGCTCGTGGTTTCAAAATGCTGACCTTTCCATTAGCAGCCCAACTCATAAGTACTGTGCCACCGGGGCTGGTGCTAAATGTACTGAGACAGAACAGGTGGAGAATTGGGGGGGTTCTTTTGGACTTGTAGACGTGCCTTTGTTTTTCAGGTATCCTTATGAATCTGCCCAGATCCACTATACCTATAGCCTCTGCCCTTCCCACTCGGACTCTGAGTTCGTCTCCTGCTGGGTAGAATTCTCCCACGAAAGGCTGGAGGAATACAAGTGGAATTACTTGGATCAGTATATCTGTTCTGCTGGCTCCGAGGACTTCAGGTCAGACTTGGGCTTTCCATGCTCGCTGCCCTTAGGGGTCGGGGTGGGGGGTAGGGTGGGGTGGGGGATGTATATTTTAACACTCTTGTCCTGCTTTTCTTGTTTTATTTTTAATTCAAAATTATGTCTGTTTGTGGGGCGGAGGGGAGAGGAAGAACAGAAAAAAGTACATTAATCTTCAGTACATCTTCTGTATTGGGTTAAAGACTCAGTGCTGACGTATTGTTGGTGGAAGTGCCGGTGCACCTTTTCCTGACTGCTTGGCCTCTAACTCTGTGGTGTCTGATTTTCAGTTTTGATGTGTGATTGAGGATAGAAATGACAAGCCGTAGGTTCTTGGGACCTGTGCACACGATGTCTGTGGAACAATAAAGTAAAAGCAGCTTCCTTGGCTTTCCTTCAGATTTTGTATTTTAAATGAATCATGAGCTGTACCACCAGATATGCACACACAAGTGGGAAGATGGAAACGCGCTTGCTCTCCAGAGAGACAATTGTGCTGGCATCTGTACAGGGAATGCTTTTATTTCCTACTTTTTCTCACTGCCTCCCTTTTCCCCCTTTGATGTATCCTCCATAGTTTAATTGAATCTCTGAAGTTCTGGAGGACCCGTTTCCTGCTGCTGCCAGCCTGCGTCACTGCCACCAAGCGCATCACGGAGGGGGAAGCCCACTGTGACGTCTATGGGGAAAGGCCCCGGGCGGATGAGGAGGAGTGGCAACTCTTGGACGGCTTCATTCGCTTTGTGGAGGGTTTGAATCGGATCCGCAGGCGACACCGCTCAGACCGCATGATACGGGTGAGGGATGGTCCTGGGGCTTCTTGGGGACCAGGCCTGGTCTGGAAACAGGACCTGCCTCCTCCTGGTCTAGGGACTTCCCTTTGGCCACATTGCCCAATGCTTTTCTTAAATCCAAATAATGCATTCTCTAGGGACAAAAGGGAAAGGATGGGTGCAAGGGGGAGGAGGGAGGGATGACTGTAGACCGTGTCTCATGATGCTGAGGCTGCCCTCTTCTTAGCTGGGAGCACAGCCCCTACATGTGTTCACCTAATGGGACCTGGTGTCAGCACAGCCATGTGAGTGAAACACTGCTGAATTGCAGAATAGAGACTCACTCAGGAGATTTAAAGGCAATAATGTATCCTCTTTTTTTAAAATCATTTTATTGGGGGCTCATACAACTCTTATCACAGTCCATACATACATCAATTGTATAAAGCACATTTGTACATTTGTTACCCTCATCATGCTCAAAACATTTGCTTTCCACGTAAGCCTCTGGCATCAGAACCTCATTTTTCCTCCCTCCCTCTATCCTCTTAACACATTGGAACCCTGGTCATGTAGTGGTTACGCGTTGGGTTGCTAACCACAAGGTCAGCAGTTTGAAACCAGCAACCCCTCTGAGAAAGAAAGATGAGGCTTTTTACGCTATAATTACAGCCAGGGAAACCCAAAAAGGCAGTTCCCCTTGTCTGATAGCATCTCTATGAGTCAGAGTTGACTCGATGGCAGTGAATTTGGTTTTGGAGTGGTGCAGGGATAAAGCACTCAGCTCTTAAGCAGAAGGTC